CCAGGTCCAGCGGCTTCAGAGCCAGAGGCCACTGCCTCTTATAGAGCATGTGATGGGGTCAGAAAGGCCTGTAACCGTCAGAATAACTTCTTGTCCTGCCCCGCCCACGGGAGCTGACATTTCCACCACACAGTCCCACCCAGGAATGAGGAAATAGTGGTGAGGCAGCCCATGGAAGGAGGTTGCAGCAAAGGGAGGAAAGGAGTTGCCTGTGGCACCTGGTGGCAAGGCACAGCTGGAAGCAGACCTGGGCTCCTTGTGGACCCTGTGGGCCAGGGATGGCCATAGACAGGGACCAAGGAAGTAGCTGCCTGCAGTGTTCTATGAGGGCTCAAAAAGCTGCGGTGGCTCCCGGGTATGCAATGTCCTCTTCATCTTCTCTTGTCTGTCCTATACTAGGGCAGAAGTCCTCATCATTAGAATCAGGACTCACTCATTCTTTCAATAAACATTTATTGAGCACCTACTGTGTGCCAGGCACTGTGCTAGGCGCTGGGGCTATCAGTGACTAACACACAGTCCCTGTTCTTGAGGAGCTCACAGTCTACTAGAGGGGAAGCATACAGAAACACATGGATTAAGGAATCGCAATTCACTACGGTACTATAAGAGGTATATACAAAGTGCTTCGGGAGCCCAGAGGACTGAGTAACACATCAGCTGATTGACTCCTGACTCCACTAAACCATCACAAAGGCAGGGATGTTGTCGCTACTTGGCCCTGGTTAAAATGAACCTGACTCTTGTAGCCCTCTCTCATAACTATCTCAGCACAGGTTAGTTTATCGAATTAGTTTAACACTTTGAATAGGAAGGGTACTAAACAGGGAAATTTCCTTAGGGGCAAGAGGACATTCAAAGTAGTAACACATCTTAAGTGCTAAAGTGGGAGGTGGGGGTACCATGAGGGCACTGAGCCAGAAAGGGCAGGCCCTGGGCAATGGGGCACCTGGGGTGAATGCCTGTGCAGAGGAAGGCAGACGTCACTTACCTCAAAGTTTGGTCCTTATCTCTCCCACTTGCTCCATCAGTAACTGTTCCTTGATGCCACTATCTGCTTTGTACTGTGCCCTATTCTGCAGGTAAAATGGTCACCCCCCCTACTCTTCAGGACACGTCATCGAAGGTTGCAGTGACAGTTTGTGATTATAATAGAGATGTCACAGGCTGTCCGTGATCAGTTGCCAGAAGAATGGCAATTGCAGGAGTTTACAATAAAGAACCCACTTAAAGATAGGCTGATCTGGGAAGACAGTTTCCACGAATTGAGTCTTGAAGGATGGACATAACTTTTTGTTGGTACTAGCAGAATAGGAAGAACATTCTGACTGAGCAGAACCAAGTAAAACAAAAGCACAGAGTTGGGGACTTGTGAACAGAAGCACATTCAAAAGTCAGCAAATCCATCCGTTGGACAAGAGCAGTACCTTAGGATGATAGAGGGAGCAGGGTGAATTGGATGGAGAAGTCAGTTAGACCCAATGGTGAAGGGTCTTGATGGCAGGCCAAGGCTTGGGGCCTGGGGCTTTGTCCTGAAGGCAGGGCTCCGATGCTCAGCTTAAAATACTTCTGGAACTATTGCCCTGAGCCCAAGTGCTCCCTCATCCCTCCTCCAGGACCCTTAGACTGAATTCAACATCTAAAGGTTTAAGATTAGAAAGAGGCCGGGCTCGGTGGCTCAGCCTGTAATCCCGCGCCTTTGGGAGGCTGAGGTGAGTGGATTGCCTGAGCCCGCGGGTTCCAGACCCGCCTGGGCAGGGAGACCTCATCTCTACAATAAATCAAAAAATCAGCCGGGCGTAGTAGCGCATGCCTGTAATTCCGGCTACTCGGAAGGCTGAGGTGGAAGGATCGCCAGAGCCCAGTAGGTCGAGGCTGCGGTGGCCGGGAGCGGCCACTGCACTCCAGTCTGGGCGACAGAGTGAGACTCCAATTAAAAAAAAAAAAAAAAGATTAGAAAGGATTGGGGGGCCAGGCACAGTGGCTCACGCCTATAATCCCCACACTTTGGGAGGTCGAGGCAAGAGGACCACTTGAGTCCAGGAGTTCAAGACCAGCCTAGGCAGCATAGTGAGACCTCATCTCTACAGAGAATCAAAGAATTAGCCAGGCGTGGTGATGTGTGCCTGTAGTCCCAGCTACTCGGGAGGCTGAGGCAGAAGTTTCACCTGAGTTCGAGGCTGTGGTGAACCATGATCATGCCACTGCACACTCCAACCTGGATGAGAGTGAGACCCCCCAACTAAAAAAAAATTGGAAAAGGCTGAGGGTTAGGTATTTATCACCCCTACATGTAGGCCAGGAGGAATCACTTCCTTAGCAGAGGAAAGAAATAATCTGTGCCTGGCAAATGGGCGGGGTTAAGACAGGTTATACGAGTGACTGCTGGTGTGTGTTGGGGAGAACTCTTGGAGGCTCTGGGAAGTGAACGAAAGGCCAAATTTCAGAGACATTGCAAGTCACACGCTGGACTTCGGGAGATGAGGGAGTGTGGGGCAAAGTGAAGGCAGCCAACAGATGGCTCTGAAATTTCCACCTTAGAAGGTCAGGAAAATGGTGGCACCAGAAACAGAAATAGGTAAGTCATGAGGACCTTTGGTTTGGTCGGTTTGGGGAAGGATTTTGTGTGTGTGTGTGTGTGTGTGTGTGTGTGTGTGTGTGTGTGTATGAATGTGGAATTAAAAAATCCAGTTTTCATAGAGGAGCTATATTTGAGGGGCTGACAGGAATCGAGGTGGAAATATCCAGCAGATCACTGAAATGTGAGCCAGGACCATAGGAGAAAAGTAGAGGCTGGAGCTCTGGATTCAGGATTCATCCCTGAAAAGCCAGAATGGATGAGAACCTTGAGGAACAGCCACATTGTAAGTGGTAAGTATGGGCCAGGTATGGTGGCTCACGTGAGTTTATAATTCTAGCACTTTGGGAGGCCGAGGCAGGAGGCTTGAGACCAGTCTGGGCAACAAAGAGAGACTTCATTTCTATAAAAAATAAAATAATTAACCAGGCATGGTTCTGTGCACCTGTAGTCTCAGCTACATGGGAGGTTGAGGCGGGAGGATCCCTTGAGCCCAGGAATCTGAGCACCACTGCACTCCAGCCTGAGCGACAGAGCAAGACCCTGTCTCAAAAGAAAAAAGAAAAAAAAAAAAAAGGTGAGGACCCAGAGCCTGCAGAGTGATGGGAGAAGCAGGAGAGCCTAGCTAGTGTGGATTTACGGGGGCCAATAACCATGAGGAAGACCTTTGACTTCACCACGAAGGCACTGATGACCTTCTAAGGATGAGTATCTACAGAGCTGGGGTGGGAACGCAGAAGCCAGAATTCAGGCAGGGACAGGGCCACCCATAACCCATGCAGTGCCTTTGTGCAAATTAAAATAAAACAGCAAAGCAATGACCCTTTCTTAAGATGCTTGCTTTCCACCATCAGGAAACTGTCATAATAAACTGATTTTATTAGAAAAAGGCACTTTAATGCCAACTGCTTGAAACGTAGTAAATGCACCTGCATGACCAAATATGGTTCCCTCTGGAGGGCGGGGCAGGGAGGGGGAGAAGAAGAGAACTGGAGGGGGTGATTATTGGCTTGGTGGCCACCAGAAAAAGAGAAAAAAACAGCCAGGGGAGGTAGTTAGGTCAAGTGGATGGTTTTGACCCGAGGACACAGCAAAGGTCCCGAGGCACTGATTCACATTTACCAAAATCACCAGATAATGGAGTTGTTTCCGAGGCTGACATCTCTTAACCTTGCCCCCAAACTTGGCAGGAGGGAGGCAAGCTAATTCAAAGAAGGGAGCGGGGAGAGGGCCCAGACCCTTGGCCAAGGGGTTGACTTTGAGAGAACAGGGTGACCCTTCTTTGGAAAGAGAAAAGAGGGAAGCTGGAGTAAAGAGACAGGAGCAGTGCCATGGGAGTTCTGTCTGCTGGATTGTGTCTTTTTGGCCAAGGAGGAATCAGGGTTAGCTGTGAGCGTTGGAGGTGAGGGGTGTCGGTCCATCGGAGAAGGTCTGCTGTAGCCATCGTGAGGTGAGCAGCAGGTGGGCTGAGCAGTGCAGACCACGTGGCAGGCGCCTACACATCCATGAGCAGGAATGGGGGCGGGCCCAATCTAGGTCGCCGCGGGGCCAGCCCCAGCAACGATGACTGCTGGAAGATGTCATGGGTGAAAGTTATCAAGGGGGACCCAGGATAGGGCAGGTAGGCCAGGACGCCAGCAAAGACTGTTGTCGGGCAGAGGGCCGGTATCACACAAACACCCCATCAGTTAATTCAGCCCTGAATGGGGACTTTGTGGCTGGGTCTGACTCTGGAGGGGCCCTGGCCCCTGATTAATCCTTCAGCAAAGCACTCTGAGGTGGCCAAATGTCTAGTAATGAAGCAAATTCCAGGAAGAAGACCTCAGCCCAACCTGTGGGGGCTGTTTCCAGGATTGAGTTTTCTTCCTTCCCCTCGTGGTTTTACCCTGCTCAGCCTTCTTGTCCCTTAGGTGCGTGTCTTCTCCAGAACCCACGCCCATCCAAACTCTCCTACCCTACACCTGTTTCAGCTCTGTGACATCTCTCCAGATTTGGGGGAATCCAACCTGTATCCCATAGTCTCAGAACAACTGAATCTTGGCACATACAAAGGGAATTAGAGAATGCGTTCCCTTAAACAAAATCCCCATCCCTGGGGCAGACCCATGGAGATGTACACATACTTTTAAAGACAAGACCTCACAGCTCCACCCTGTCCTCCCCAAAGAAACTAAGATGCAGACCCACAAGTACAGACAGATACATACAGAGATATTCACATATGGGAAAGTAAGTTCCCTGTGTAGGGAACGCAGACGGCAGATACAGCCAGGCGGAAGGACGCTTCTCACAAAGCCCCTGCACCAGCCCTGGCCACAGACTCCTCCGGGCTCAGGAGGTCTTCCCTCCACTGTCCACCAAATCAGCCCCTTATCCTGCCAAGAGCATATCACCTAGTGCTCCTGAAGGCCGGAGTCCGATGCCAGGCAGGGCTGAGGTACTGGGGTCGGGTGCATTGACAATCCACTGAAATGCAGGGGCAGGTGCGCTATTAATTCAGTCCGTATGAAAATGCTGCTCAATTTCTCCTGGCGGGTCACACTTCTGACCCTTTCATTTATATGTCGTGGGGCTCCATCTTAATGAGGGAAGTAGGGTTGAATGGGGAGAAGGGGGCTGGAGTTGGGGATCTGGTCAGCAGGCTCCCAGATGTGGTCACACTAGGCTCAGCCATAAGCAGGGACCCTGAGCCTGAGGAGAGCTCAAGTTCAGCCACTGGGGTCAGCCCAACAGTGGGGCGGCCGGGAGGAGAGAAAGTCTGGTTCCCCAGAAGGCTCGGATTGTGGGAACCCCTTGAAACCACCTGGGTTGGAAGTGGCTGAAGATGAGCCTGATCTCTCAGGAGCTCCCTCAGGGTCTCTTCAGGAACCAGCAGCCCCTCCATGGGGGCCCCAGTCACCATGCCCTGCACATAAGAGGAGGACCTGAGCGGCCCCTCCTTGGCCCCAGGGGCTGCTGTGGTGCCGGAAGTCCTGATGAAGGCAGCAATGACAGTCCCAGGGGGCTGAGAGCTGGGCCCTGCCGGTCCAGCCCCTGTGACCGAGGGTGGCACTGGGTTGGTCGGACGGTTGGTTCCAGCCAGAAGTTGGGGGAGGCCACTGAGAATCAACGGAGCCCCTGGGGCTGCCACCTGGCTGTCTTGGAAGCTGGTATTCAGGGGGAAGGAGGCCTGCAAAGTGAAGGTGTCCTTGAAGGTCGAGGCAGGTGGAACACTCTGGAGAACGAGCTGGGTGGAAGCAGCAGAACTAGTGGGAGGCCCGTTGGTCAGCACTGTGGTCAGCGGGATGGTCTGTAGGGTCAAGGCCGAGCCTGTAGGGGCCATTCCTAGGTGGATGTTGCTGGGCACTGAAGAAGCACTGAGAGGAAACAGAGAATAGAGTTGGTTAGGTATCCCCCCGCTGGCTAGGAAGGAGGAAGGTGCAAGAGGAAAGGAACTCTCCGGGTGCGGTGGCTCATGCCTGTAATCCCAACAGTTTGGGAGGCCGAGGTGGGAGGATTGCTTGGGTAACACAATGAGACCTCTACAAAAAATTTGCCGGGTGTGGTGACGTGTGCCTGTAGTTCCAGCTACTTGGGAGGCTGAGTCAGTAGGATTGCCCGAGCCCAGGAGGTCAAGGCTGCCGTGAGCTGTGATTGTACCACTGCACTGCAGCCTGGGTGACAGTGAGATTCCAGATTCCAAAAAAAAAAATAAAGGAATGGAGATGAAGGTGTTTTGTCTATGTCTTTGTTGTTGTAGCTAACATTTGCTGAGTACTTAGTATAGGTCAGGGATCATTCGAAGTGATTGACATGTGGCATTTTGCTCTATCCTTAAAGCAGCACAAGTTGAGTAAGAAAAATCTGATTTTATAGATCGAAGAAACTAAGCACAGAGAAGTTATGTAACTTGCCCCAAGACCACACAGCTAGTAAGCACTAGAACAGACACTCACTTCTAGACCTTGTGACCCCAGAGCTCATGCTTCTCACCATTCTACTCTATTGGCTGCCCTCCTCAGAAGGGCATCTCGGAGACCCATACCATCGTAGCGAAAGGCCCAGGCACATGACCCAGACAAAGTCACAGCAGAATGGAGTCCCCTTAGCAGGGATGAGAAGTAGTGAGACTTTCTTCTTGTTCCCATGAAGGGAAAATTAAAGAGAGATGTAGTGAGAGGTTGCTGGGCGGGCCCAGAGGTCATGAGGAAGGCAGAGCAGGTGTCTCTGTAACATTCTCTGTTGCCTGTTTTCTGAAGTGGAAGAGGCTTAGGGGGATGCGCCCAGATGTGGAGGCCCTGGTGGCTCTTGGGGAGCCCTCTGGTGTCACAGGAATAGCCCCAACTGGCCATTACTTTGATGTGTGATTTGGGGCAAGTCACTTTTCTTCTCTTGACCAACAAGTGCCTTGCTGGCTTCCTCGGGATTCTGTGAGGATCCCATGAGCCAGGAGACACGGCAGAGCTTGGCAAGAAGTTGAAAACTGACCCCCAACGCGAGGTACCATGTGGAGACTCGTAATGACTTTGGCGCCCTTACCTCACAGCTTTGGTGAGTTTGGCCTGACTCTCTGGTGGAGAGACAAGCATTGTGGAGGTAGTGGGGGTCTCGTCGTCTAGAGACAGTCCCAATTCCAGACTTGCAGATGGCTGGAGACCGACATGCTGAACCTTTGGCTTCTCCCAAGAAGAGCCGCCCTTGCCCTGGGGGACAGCCCTGGACGAGACCCTCGAGCTGGCTCGCCTGGTGGTGCTGGTCGAGGCCATGGAGGCCTGAGGCGGGGCTGCTGTGGCTTCATTTTTCTCGTCTTCATCTTCAATCACCACCAGGTCCTTGGGCATCTCCTTAAACTGGTACACCAGCCTCTGCCCTTCCACTTTGGCCAGGATGCCTCTTTGGTAGTAATATCTAGGGGATGAGGGGGGAGGAGTCACCCAGGGACAACGTGGAGAGGCCTTTCATCCCCATCTCCCCAGCCCACTGCCCTCCAGGGCTGGGCTGGTGAGGCTGAGGCTGATAGCAGAGCTGGCCCGGGGCTCAGGGACCAGGGAAGGGGTATGGCCAACGCTTGGACTTGGAAGGCGTTTATGACATTTCTGAGATTTCCCCCTGAGGACTCAAAGGATCTTTGAAAAGGGTTTTTTAATACCACCCCCTTGGCTGGGTTCAGTGGCTCAGTCTGTAATCCCAGCACTTTGGGAGGCCGAGGCGAGTGGATTGCCTGAGCCCACGGGTTCAAGACCCACCCTGGCAACTTGGCGAGACCTCGTCTCTACAATCAATCAAAAATTAGCCGGGTGTGGTAGTGCACACCTGTAGTTCCGGCTACTTGGAAGGCTGAGGCGGAAGGATCACCGGAGCCCAGTAGGTAGACGCTGGGATGGCCGGGAGAGTGCCACTGCACTCCAGTCTAGGAGACAGAGTGAGACTCCAACTCAAAAATAAATAAATAAATAAATAAATAAATAAATAAATAAATAAAATACCACCCCCCACTCTGCTTTAGGGCAGAGGACAGGGAGTGACTGAATGAAGGAACGAAGAGTGAGAAGATGGGTGGCAGGGGCCAGTATTCCAACAGCCTGAAAGGCCACCTCTAGGATATCTCAAGCTCACCTCCCTGGGGCTCTGGCCTGCAGAAAGTGAAGAAAGCCCTTCTCACGCATTGGGGAGGACAAACCGCTCTTCCACTAAAAAAAGACATGGTCAGGTCAGGCAGGATGGCTTATGCCTATAGTCCCAGCACTTTGGGAGGCCGAGGTGGGAGGTTTGCTTGAGCCCAGCCTGGGCAACATAGCGAGACCTGGTCTCTACAAAAAGTTAAAAAACAAATTAGTTGGGTGTCGTGTTACAAGCCTATAGTCCGAGCTACTTGGGAGGCTGAGGAGAGAGGATCGTTTGAACCCAAGAGACTGAGGCTGTGTTAAGCTGTGATTATGCCACTGTCCTCCAGTCTAGGTGACAGAGCGAGTTCCTGACTAAAAAAAATAAAATAAAATAAAAGGCAAAATTAGAGGTGCAAGAGGAAGAGAAACTTTCCTCCCAGAGGGAGCCTGTGGAGAGAGGATCGTTTGAACCCAAGAGACTGAGGCTGTGTTAAGCTGTGATTATGCCACTGTCCTCCAGTCTAGGTGACAGTGTGAGTTTCTGACTAAAAAAAATAAAATAAAATAAACAAAAGGAAATAAATAAAAAGACGAAATTAGAGGTGCAAGAGGAAGAGAAACTTTCCTCCCAGAGGGAGCCTGTGGAATGGGCAAGCCAATGGGAAGGTTACAAGACCTATTTACTTAAAGGTTTAATCATCTCTCCATTAAAACAGGAGAGACTCCCTGGACCTAAGGAAGGGCGTGGTGACTGTCCCAGGTCAGGAATTCTGGGTCCCAGAAACTCCTACCTCAGTGCCCGCCCCATTGTCTCATAGTTCATGTCAGGCTTGTTTTTCTGCTTCCCCCACAGCTTGGACACAGCTTTGGAGTCCACCAGCTTGAAGATGCCTTTCTCTCGCTGGGTCCACTTGATGTACTTGGGACAGGTGTTTCTGTCTTGCAGAAGCGCCAGGAGGAACTCCCACAGATAGATGGTGCTGCCTACAGAGGGGTGGGGAGTGAGGGGCAGCCCGAGCACCCTGGCGGCAGGGAAGGGCCTCCCTTCCCACCTCACCTGACTTCCAGCCATACCTTTGCCATCCTTCGATTTCTTCCGTATGGGGATGCTGGGGTCAGTGACAGGTGAGGTACTTCGGTTGCCCTTGGCCTTCCGGACTGTGCGGGGAAGGTAGGGGAGAAGGATGAGGGCTGGCTCCCTGAGAAGGAGGGGCCAGTAGCTGACCAAGTTGTGTGTGACAAGGCCAACAAGGAGGAGCCAGGTCACCAGGGCTGGAGGTCCTGGGTCACTCTCTGCAGCCGCAGCCCTCAACATCTGCACCCCCATTTTCAGGCCCACAAGGAAGGTAGCACTGGAACATGGCTATGGCTACAATGTGGGGGGGGGCTTGCAAATGTGTCACCTCTATGAGAATAGTCTGCCTAGCCTAACTTTGGAAACAGAAAGGCAGCCGAAAGGCACATTGTCGCGCAGGTAAGTGTGAAGCCGAGGTTTTGTTTGCCATGCTGACAAGCGGTATCAACCAGCCATCGCCTGAGTAAATCAATAACACCAGGGCTTGGGAAAGCCCAAAGTCCTCTCTCATATAGGGCCTTGGCTTCATAAGCTCTGCAGGAGGGAGATAAGCACTTGGCATTACTCTCCTTTTATAGACAGAGGCCTCAGAGGTCCAGGGACTGGCCAAGGGCCAAGCCTGGTGTCCAAACTCCCAGCCTAGGATTCAACCCATCATGATGGTCAGCATTTCTAAGTTTACGTATATGCTGGCCAGATAGAAGCAACATGGGAAATGTTGGGTAGGCCAACCAAAGAGGCCAGGTTTTACAGAAGGAAGGCCTTTTGGTCCATCCTTGCCACACTGGATATCTGACCTCTTAATGAGTCCATGAGCCTCGGGCCATTCAGCCCTCACGGTCTCCCTGACACCCCCCCCCCCCCCCCCCCCCGGCCCCCC